AAATTTGAGGTTTTTTGGGGATCACCAAAATTGTTGTAATTCTGCAACACTGGGTCTTACAGGGTTAAGATTTCCTTTTCTGTTATTACAATAAGATTTCAGGACGGAGAAGAAAGATATTCTGTGAGGTTTTGTTGATTGGAATTTGTCTTTACCTCTAAAATGTAAAGTATATCTAATGCCAGAAAGTATTATTATGCATGGGTAGTGATTAATTACACTACTGGAAAATAAACAAGCTGCTATGCTCACAATACAGAAGCCGTGACAAGCCACAACATTTATCAAGTTTCCAATTCTTCAAAGACACATGCTTTTAAAATTCAATGTTCTCGAAGTTTACTTACTTTAATCAGTCTGAGAGGTTACAGAGTCGGCTGGGTGGGTCCGTTTTTGCTTTGCCTTCTGGTTAAACGCTTCGAGCTAGAAAAAATAAAAGTGGATCAAGAAGACAGAAAATCTCCAGACAGTGTGTTTTATAATTATATTATATATGATATAGGCTTAAAAGAAAGAACTCAGAGCATAGCAAGTTCAATATTGTCACTAAAAATATGTTCTAATTTAAAATATCAATGTTTTTTAAGTTACACTGTTAAGCGACTCACATAAACTAAACAATAAATGCCAATTCAGCTACATGACATACCCATCGTGTATATTGCACACACAGCGGATGGATTTTTATTTTCCACAGTTCAGTTCAACTACGCCTCCCTTTAACTTACGTAGCCTATCCTTACAGGTGGGGAACATTTACCATTTCTGTAATGTCTATGTTGGGAAATACAACAACAAAAAACAGTCCCGTCATTGGTAATCCTGAACAAATAATGAATGATTAAATGAATAAAGCCACGTGGGGCTTTAACTAACGATTATTTTCATTATCGTTTCATCTTTCGATCATTTCCAAAATGTCAGAAAGTGGTGAAAAACCATCACTGTTTCCAAAAGCCCAAGTTGAAGTTGAAATGTCTTTTGTTCACACAACACAAAGATATTCAGTTTACTGTGATAGACTGAAGAAACCAGAAATTATATTATAGTTTACTCAAAACATATAATAAATTATTGAAATAGTATTAGTATTAGTATAGTTAATAGTTCACAACTAATTGATTAAATCTGACTAATGGTTGCAGCTCTAATGCAGCTTGTATTTCCATAAAATGACACTGGGAAGGTCGGAAAATGAATGAATCTGTTTTATCTGAGAGACTTAGTATGGAAGAACTTACTGAAATGTTCCGTAACAAATAATTCACTGTTGCAAAGCTACAGGTTGGTGACAAATTCAAGGAAAAATTGCTAATAATTGATACTAAAACCAACACTCCACCAACCTTTTTACGCAGGTTCGCCTTTATTTCCTCCTCTGTTGGCGGCTGTTTTTCCTCGCCTGACTCCACTGGCTCCACTGGTTCCTCGGCTCCAGCGACAGCTTTGGAGACAGCTTCTCTGACCTGATTCACTAATAAGTCAAGGTTTTTTCCACGTAAACGATACCTCTGCCTGCAGCTCTGAGTGGTTGGCTGCTTCGTGGCGATGACCTGCAGGCAGCGAGGCCCAGAAAACGAGCCAATCTGGCCTTCGCTTGTAGACAGATCTGGATTCACTAATAGGTTAATGTCTTGAAGATTATTGGGATGAGGGTAAACCATGTTAGGTGCCACTGCAGAGCCAGGAAAGTGATGGTAGGCGTTCGGTGGATAAGCATGCCTGCTGGGATAAAGGTAGGGAGGAAAGGCACCCTGAGTATTTGTCCAGTGAGAATTTGTAGCAGCAGTGTAGGTGCCACTGTGGTGGGCACTGTCCTGGGAGTACTGGGACAAACTGTAATCTGGATGTGCAGAAAGAGCAGCAGGGTGGGGATATGATTGGTTTTGTGGATGTTGATAAGTGGCAGTTTCTTCTGAGTTTATTCCGTCTCTGTGCCTCTCTGCTTCTTCTCTTTCTTGGCATGTCAGTCCATCTCCGCTCCTGTCTCTCGAGCTACTGTGTTCAGGCGCTCCCTTCGAGTCTCTGCTGTGGGAGGGGCCGGTACTAGCGCTTCTAGAGGTCGACCTCGAGTAGGAGGAAGAGGATTTCCTGTACTGTCTGTGGGAGCCTCTCTGCAGACTCTCCTTCTCCCCTCTGCTGTCCGCCCTTTTGCCCTCATGCTTCTTCCCATACAGCCTCTCCTGAGTCCGGTCTGCTAATTTGCTCATCTCTTCCACTTCCAGACTGAACCCCAGAGTTTTAAGAATGTTCTGGAGCTGTACACTTTGTTCATCCACCTTTGGTTTTTCTTCTTCTTCTTCTTCTTCTTCTTCTTCTTCTTCTTCCTCCTTCTTCTTCTTCACTGCCGGGGGAGACTTGGATCGACTACTAGATCCAAAACAGAGGCCTGCTCCGTCATTCTTCTTCTCATCATATCATATCAGGTAAGTGATCACTGAGGGATCTCTCATGACGATCTCTCTTGGACGGGTCGGCCCTCCTCTCTCCACTGTTAGTCCGACTCCGGCCCAGCAGCGAGGCTCCGCTGTTGGATCGCTGGCTCTCGCTCCTGAAGGGCAGATCTGGCTTGTTCTCCATGGCAGGGGGCTGAACGTCCAGGAGCTCCTTACCTAAAGGGAGATCCTCACTGTCATCGTTGACGATCCTACTGAGCAAGTCCATGTCCACTCCTTTGTTGAGCACGCTGAGGAAGCGCTGGAAACCCTGGTTGGCGCTACTCTCCTCCTTGGCGGGTGAAGTAACACTTCGGCTGGCGAGAGGCGGTGAGATATCAGGGACCTGGGAAAGGTCAGGAAAAAAACATTGTTTATTGGTTAAACATTCATTCATAAAGGCAGGGACTCGAAGCAACCTTCACTATATTTATACGTTTCTACCAACCAAGGATTATATAAACGGAACGAAAGAAGAAGAAAAAGACATTCTGTAACTGATCAAAATGTCTTATTGTAACACCTTTAAAAACTACAACCCAATTAACTCTTTCAGTTCACAGGAAGATTTAAGGCACTGACTGTAAAGAAATATTGACTACAGTACTAAACTGTTACAGTGGCATCAGATATCATCGGTTACAATATTATCTCAACAGAATATGTATATAAATAAATGGTTGTCTTTATGTGTTAACCCTGCGGCTGCTGTCCAGGGTCCAGGGTACAGTGTCTCTCAACCCGTGCATGCTGGGAAAGGTTTCAGCCCCCAGTACAGCATATAGAACAAAGATGGATGAATGGGTACATTTGATGATTATTAGTTCGTAAGTTAAATTGTATTCAACTTTAAGATGAAACACTCCTTTAATGTATGATTGTGTGTTTTCTCTTATTCAGCTTTTGTATAGTAAGTTTTGTACGTTTTATTTATATGTTTACTAAATATAATGTCAATGAGATGGCTATGAAATATTACAAACCTCTCTGTTTGTTGGTAAAACACAGAGATTACTACATCTCTGCTTCCTCAGTGCATTCACTCTGAGCTTCAGGGGATGGTCTTCCTGCAGCAAAACGTCCTTGCTCCGGCTGGAAGAGTTCATTCTGTCTTTGGAAGAGCGGACCTGAGCAGGAAGAGAGGAGGCAGTACAGTATACAGCATATAGGCCTCTGCAAGCTGAAGAGAACTGTATTGATTATTGGATATGAATACATCTGTTACTCACCACTGACAGAAAGCTGACAGAATGCCGTTGCTGCAAAATTAAATTCACCCTGTCTTTAAGACTTGCACTTGTGCATGTAGCCGACTGTTCATTACAGGACAAGCCCAGAGGTGTCGCCTCCTTCCCAAACGGTTCAACCTTTTTCAGAGCAATAGCAACTTTCTTTCGCAGTATCTTCTCCTCTATCTCTCTAAGCTCTATCCACTTTCTTTTCAGCTCTGGATCCTCCTCGTCCATTTCAAACGGCTCTCCGTCTGGGTCCTCCACTTCTGGCTCTTTAATGTAAAAGTTTTGCGAGGGATGACAGAGCTCCTCTGATAAATGCACCCCCATGCTGCTTTGTGGTTCATCAACAGTGTATGTTGAGTGCTGGCAGTAAGTGTCCCAGCTATCATCAGTTCCTGGGGCATTGTGCATGCTGCTGTTAACAACAGTCTGGTGATTTAGGTCCAGATTTCTCTGCAGTCTTTGAAGAGCTTCCCAGTTAAATGGATTCATCCTTCAGTCAGTCTCTGTTGCAGTTTATGAAGTCAATACTCTCTGTTAAGCAGAAACAATGTGGACAAATGACTGAGGGTTAATAGCACAGACTTAATAGAAACTGTCCTTTTAGACAAGCGACTGTTACCATCAATCTCTGGGAACCAAAGACATTAACTTAAGTTAGCTTAAATATTGATTGCTTTTGTGGTAAGACAAATCCAAGCGTTTAATAAACCCAGGCTCTGTGACACTATAACCTGCTGCAATATAAGTTATAAGTTGGCAAATTAAGGACCGAACAAACAACAAAACCCAACTAATCTTGCTTTTTGATAGCTTGAGGTTAGCTTGACAGCTAACAGACTGTTTACCTGCTGCTCATAGGAGCCCTTCCTCTGTCGCATCGCGGGAAAAATGTTTATTTAAAGGCCGTTACTCCGAAAACTAGTTTATTGGAGAATGAACAGTCAAAGGTGAGCTTTAAACGGGTTCAGCAGCAGGAAAGGACAGCCCTTAATGTCAGAAAAAATAGTAACTAACGTTAAATAAGTGGGGCCAAGACTGCTGTCACTGCTTCGGTGCTGTTTAAAATAGATAACATTAACAGCGCCACCTGCTGGATGGAGTACCGACACTGCAGGATAAACACATTACATGATGATATACTTCAGTATGTGCTCTTCCTGTGCACATGGGACAGGAGACTAGGGCAACTGGAGGCTGATGGGTCCACACAGTGGTTCCTTATTCATTGTGTCAGTACCTGATTATCTACTGAGCTCACATCTTCACCTGTCAGTTCTTAGGTTTTAAGCTTTTGAAGAGTGTTTATTATTCGTCTCCTGGTGCACTGCAGTTCCATGCGAATTCTTATAAACTCCATGGATTATCTGTGCTTTGTCCTTACTGTGCCTTTGCTTAACCTCCTCTATATATCCTGTACATAGGTATGGCTCTCGAGGATTTTTCCTCCTTGGAGGAATAGTATATTTAAACTTTTTTTTTACTGTTTTGTTAATAGGGTTGGCCGTTTGATTGACTGTAGTGTGAGAAGACTGTATCTTTAAACTGAAAAATAAAAACGTATGTCAGAAATAATTAGTCCTAATGTAATATCAACTATTGTGAGCAGAAGCAAACACACAGCATACATATACACGCACTGGCAGTTTGTTTTACTCTATATCTTACTCAAAGTCACTACAGCTGCACAGATGTTAGACGGTGTAGTGAAACAATCCCTATATATACACATCCATATATTGAATATGTATATATAAATATATATAAATATATATATATACAAACTATACAGAGAGTATTGGCTGTGGTGTTTTCCGACTTCTTCCTGTTTATGACAACAACTGAATGTACTGTGCAACCTGCCAAAGAGGACAATTTCATGGGACATTGTCACATCAAATTTCCTCCAACAGTTAATGTGCAATTAAACAGCTCTTCACCATTTATTTCAAATCACTGTTTAATATTATGCAATTCAAATATTTACACACTTTTCTGCGTACATGAGTACACAAAAAGAAAACATGTCAACCGGACAAACAGAGACGCTTCAGTGTAGAGCGAGTTTTGTTATCGTAGGTCGGCCAAAACCATCTGAAGACTAAACACTGGATTATGGTGCCTTTTCATTAGAATGAAGGCATTTAGCCTACAGAAAGACGTCTCTAGATAAATATTTCAACAAATAATACAATGTATCAAATCATGGTGTTTAAACTAATTTTGAATAACAAAATTAACAGACAAAGTTTTCGGAAATCAATAAACACTTGTTTAGTGTCAGTGGTTATTTTAGCATGGCATTGTGCTATGGGTAAATGAAGAAGCTCCCTTGAACACTACCTCGTGGTTTGTCATTTAAGTTGTGGTCAAAAACTGTTAGTGACACTGTCTGTGTAATCGTTGTTTTGGCTGATTACAAATGCTCAAAGTTGATTTTCTTTTAGGTGACATTCAAATGTGTGTTTTGTGTTTAAAACAGGACCCCCCAAAGGCGCAACTGTTTTATTACTTTATGAATATCTCTTTATTATTCTTTAGAGGCATAAGATACTTACTCAACTATATTGGTATGTTTTAAAGGCAAATTCTCACCGTATAACTTCTCTAACGTCTTCATCCAGGTTGTTTGGTTTCAATGACCTGCAAACAGCGGGGCCTTGACACTGTTTTGGATTTTTGTGTGTTGTTCAGAGGCTGAATTGGCAGGTTCAAAAATGGCTGAGGATTACTGATGTGTTGTGGGAGTAGGTGCCTCGTCTGAGCGAGTACTGATGGAAAAATATTCAAAGGTGGGACACGGGGGTAAGGGAGGAAGGGAGGCAGGCCAGGCAAGAAAAGCCCGGGGGGCAAGTTAGGAGGCGGAGGTGGGTACGGCAGCGGTGAACAGTTTACTGGAGAGTACATCGGCATGACTAGTGTAGGAGATGGCTCTGACAAAGGGTACGTGGGGTTTTGAGAAAATGCTTGACCATCAGCAGTGCTTTCCTGGGAGTTGGTTTCACCTTCCTCACGCTTCTGCAAAACGCTACTGCTGTTCTTCTGGCTATATTCAACGGCTTGATGTACCTGTACTTGGTGTTCCCCTGTTAGATCCCTCTGAGCACCATAGTCGTCTTCTTTCACGTAATACTCTCGGGTTGACGGGCTAACACTAGACCTGCTTGATGATGATCTACTTTGCTGTCTTGGTGAAAAAGCTTGCCTTGTGTCCTTTTCCCTGCTTACTCTACGATGGCGGCCCCCGTCACCGTCCTTCTTTCCGTATAACCGCTCCTGGATCCGGTGTGACATTTGGCCCAGTTCCTCAAACCCTAAATCAATGCCAATGGCCTGCAAAACATCCTGCATGTGCCTGTGCTTGTGCTCATCTTCAGGTGCCGGCGTGGTCTTTTCCACCACTGACGGAGACCCGGATCTACTGTTGGAGCTAAAGTAGCTTTGTTCTCCTTCACCCCTTTGCAGAGACTTCTCATTAGACAGAGATCGCCGCTTTGGGCTGAAGGACCTGTGACGAGGCTGTGGAGAAGCCAGTCTCTGGGATCCCTCGCTCTTACTCCAGTGGCTGGCATTTTGGTGGCTTCCCCCCTGCCTCCCGGCACAAGTGGGAGACCACAGACGATCTGTAGCGCTCATGAAAGAGGACGGAGAATGTGGCTGATCACCCCCTTTTGTAGAGGTCTGAGTCACTATTTTGGTGAGCGTGGCGACATTCACACCCTTGTTGAGCACGTCGAGGAAACGCTGGAAACCCTTGGTTGACTTCTGCTCAAGAACAGCGGCACTTTGGTTGTTGACGTCACTCTCGTAAGACTGTCGGGAAACACCGAAAAAAAGCTGTTTATGTAATTATTTTATGCAAGCTTTACTTGACAAATATATTTGTAGTATGGAACAACCTGTGAGTGTTTCCGTTCTTGAGGATTTTGGTCATACTTTGATTACTAGAGCTAAGAGCGCGGGCACACACACACACACACACACACACACACATTCAATCGCCAGTTGTTGGGCTGACACATCACCTAACCCCACCTCAATCCCATCAATCTGTCTGAATAAGGGTAAAAAAGAGCCTTGTGTGGTAATCACCATCTCATTTGCGTGTATTTTTTACAGTGTGGTCAACACATGCTGATGGCCACAGTGACCACAGCAGACCTCAGGCATGCAGTGTATTTATCTGTCTCACATATTACGTTTTACAGTGCACACTTACACATCAACTCTACAATGAAATTAGTAAAACAATTTAAATACGTTAGACAGCTGTCTATAAAAACTACTATAATGTGCATCCCAGCTTCCCATTGAAGGTCACCCATATATACTTTGTATAGTAACGCTTTTATGGAGAGAGGAGTGTCAGTATGGATCTGTTGTAGCAGAAAGTACACGTTACTGTATTCACCTCCATACTGAGACAAAAAACATTTTTAAGGTAAAAAACGCAGCATCTGCCAGCAACTCTCACTGATGATAATGACAAACCCACCTGTCCGGCATTCAATGGAAACCTTGCTCTGTTTTGGCGATGATCCTCATTATCTGTGGAAGGGCTGTCATTCCTCGCTCTGGGTTTGGCATAACTCTGTTCGATAAAGAGGAATACTTCATTAAACTACATGAAAAATAAACACAGTCCTTACACTGTCGCAAACACACGTTTATTGTGACTGACCTGTGTTGAGCGATCTTGTGATCGTGTCCTCTCTTGTGAGCGGTCCCGGCTCCACTCATGACCATCTCTATCGTTGTAATATCCTGATGATCGTCTGCAAGTTAAATCATCGTGTTGTTGCCTGTAGGTGAACTCCTCATTCCGATATCTGTGTCTGGAGTCTTGTGATGTTTTCCTGTATTTGAATTCTTCCTCCTGTATTAGTGTATGTTTATAATCACTGGTTACGTGTGCGCGTGAAAAACTGTCTGGTGAATGCCTGCTTGCTTTATCCTCAGACACACGCCTGTATCTGTAATCGTCTTCATCACCCTCTGTAAACCTTCGCCTTTTCTTTTCAGAAACACTCCAATCAGGTGAGGACATGCGTCTCCTCACTGGGCTTTTTCTGCTCCTGTCTCTGTTCAACGAGTCTTTACTGTACAGCCTCATAGGGGAGTCACTGTACTCTCTGCTCCTGCTCTTCCTCTCTGCGCTACTGTGGCCATCCCCACCGTATTTATAATGGGAATCCCTCGGTATGTCTCTGTGAGGGTCATGCCTTTCTTCCCATCTGGCATCATAGCCGTCCCACTGCCTTGAACTTCTGTCACTGTACTGCCGACTGTGACTGTGCTCAGACCTGTTTGAGTACATTATCTCACAGCAGCACCAGCAGCTGAGTGGACGTCAAAGGCTGCAGCAGAGAAAAAAAAAACAATCAGCTTTAAAATTATGAGGCAAAGAACTCAGAAAGATTGATAAGCCAAACCTAGATCATAGACAGGAAACAATCACTTATCTCACACTGACTTATTCATAAATAATAGTGTTTGGTCTCTTATGAGCTCTAAAAGCATCATATATAATTCATGCATCCATTGTGAGTTCAGATATTTCTTAAAGGATAATAAAGGAAGTGAGTTTTGCTGTGGGAGTGCGATCTTTCCATCAGAAACAGGCCTTGGAGGAGCCACAGTACACACTCCTTACACCATCGACTGCTCTTCTATTGCACATGAAGGAGTCAGAAATACTTTAAAGCACGGGACAAAAGTAAAGTTACAGAAACGTAATATGGACTAAGATTGTGCACTTTTCCCTCCAGGTTACAGAAACCAGAGACTCGTTACTCAGTCAAATCAGCGGCTGTAGTAACTGTTAGTGAACAGCAGCTGAGCCTCGAAGGAAAGGTTAGATTCAGTATATTGTTGGCCATTATTAGCGTATGTTAACATTAGCTGGCTATACTAGCAGTTTGCTAACGTTAGTAGGCTGGCTGCAAACTAACGTTAGCATGGCAGAAAATATCAAGCGTTGGTTAGCTGGTTAGCTGTAGCTAATATGAAAACACCAAACGCACTATGTATTATCAATAAGCGTCTTGTGATTGTCTCCAGCCAGCAGCGGTAGTTGCATTAGTACGAACCGTTCTGCCTGGTGATAAGTCCGTTACAATGAGCGCTGGAACGCAGGGGGCAGTTTATACATCAACAACTAACGTTAGCACGGTTAAACATTGGGGAGCAACCTAACGTTACGTTACGTTACCTTTCCGTTGGACGACTCCACTCTCTCTAATGGGGTGGAGCAGGGAAAATGCTGAAACTAGGCTTGGATATTTATTAAAGTAACCAACAACAAGCCGCAAAGCAGCTGGATAACATTTTTAACCAAGTTGTTCAGGTGGTGCCGCCTAAGGTTAACCACCTAACTGTTTGCTTTTCCACCTCCCCCAGTCAGTAACAAGGGATTACCGCCACCTCCTGGATGGAGTGCGAACAACAACATGCTTCTGCTCCTTCTTCTTCCTCGGTGGGCAAACCATTTTTTTTAATATCATGGTTGTATAGCGCCACCCATTGGGCTGGAGTGCAGTAGATAAGAAAATGATGTAATGCTAAAGAGATTTTTTTTTTAAAACTATGAAACCTCTCCAGGAGATGACTTACATTAAGACAATTATAATTACAAGTTTTCGAAAAAGTTATGTTTAAAGGTCCAGTGTGTAGGGTTTAATGGCATCTAGTGTTGTAAGAGCAGATCGCAACTCCCTCGCTTCACCCTCCGTTATAGTGTTTTTTGTTTTTTTACAGAGGAAATTTCTGATATCTCTGGTTCACTCCTCCTCTTTAACACTCCATAGATCAAAATATACTTTCAACAGCCATAAAAAAATACATTTGGGGAATCTTTAGGAATAAAATGTGATATAAATCAGGCTATGGATGTTATACAAGCAAACCCCTCAGTAAAAACCTTCAGAATAGAGAGAGGTATAAAACTGGAAGCTTTGGTGTAAGTGCTAATGATGTGGAGATTTCTGACCCAGAGTATGAGAACATTTTGGGTGTTTTCTTTCCACTAATCTGGAAGATGTTATAGAAACAGAACAGCCCAACTCTGTGGACTGATACATGCCTTGTTTGATATATTCTGTATATCTTATAAAATGAGAAACAGATGTCCCTCACTGCTGCTGTCCTATGGTCTTTGCAGCTCTTCCATGATGGGACAGATTCAGGATTGTACTCTAGTTGACATCATCACTGCAGGCTTCTGGACTGCTTTCTGGTTCAACGAGATGTGTTCAAATTCAGACAGAGATGCACATTATCACAGACATAATGTGTAAGTGTAGGCCTTTTTATTTAAAGTAGACATCTTGACATGTCACAATAGGAATTCAAAATAATTCATACTCATTCATTTATTTTACTATTCACATCCAAGCAACACAGAGTGATGATGAAAATAAACCCTGGTCCAGTATGCAACTTATACAAGTGTGAAACTTGAAGCCACCAGTGCACAGTGCAGCAGGAGACATTGGGTTTGAAATGAACAAAATTGGCATATTCATAGATTTTTAATGATGTAGAAGTAGATGACTTTTTAAGGGTTTTAATATGGAAATCTTACTTGTTTTGTTTAAAAAACACACCAGACACACATTATTTCCCAGCAGATTATCTGTATGTCTTAATACATGTCCCAAGGGGATCTTTAACTTTACAGACACACTGTACTGGCTCATGTCAACATTTTGCAAAAGCAAAATTTACACGCTTCGGTGAATCTCCCTTTTGGGGGGCTAGTAAGATCAAAAGTAGATTTTTATTCTGAGCAGAGGGCTGAAACAGAGAGAAAAAGATGCACGTACACATTTGCACAAATTTGGATGCACTCTAACATTACTAATACCTACAGTTGCACCACTAGGATGGCCAGAAAGCTCACAGCACACTCAGGACAGACTATGCACATTCTTTATTAGATCACTTCCTACAGGTAGCCATCAAATGACAACCCACTCATTTGCAACAACAAACAAAATGTTAAACAAAAATGCCGTACTCACAGTATTTGTGCAACTTCACACAGCTCTACATAGGCGCCTGTGTCTACATCATTATACTCACTAATGAGGTGCAGCCATTGCTCCCTGGGTAATACAGATGATAAATATGCTCCAATCACATGTGCAGTTTAGACATTTAGTCTGTGTTAATGATGGAATGGTGTCAGGGATGTGTGTTGTGTGAGTGAGGCGGAGGCCCCGACAGACCAGGAACACTGAGTTTTTGTCAGTCTCAGGGCCTTCTCCTGCAACTGTGCGAGAGCTAGGGATGTCCACCTGAGGGCGCTGTAACAGAGGACAGTTAAACACAGCACACATTATTTAGCTTTGCTGGGAACACACAGTCACTATCACACTTCCACACATCGATATTTCTGTATTTGCAGATAAGAGACATCAGACACCATCTCAACTTTCAAGTTCTCATAATGGTTTTGATCATTTCACTTCACTGCCTAACTGTAGTCTGTTCACAGACAAATGCAAGACTCAATGATCTTGAAAATCCTCATCAAACTGGGTTTGAATCAGATGTTATATAGTTTGTTCTTAAGTTCTGCATCTATTTACCAAGTGAACATAGGAAAGACTGACTATCTGACTGCTGAGAAAGTTCCACTCTCAACCCTTTACAGTGCTTTTTATACTATTTTCTACTGTCATACATGTTCATCACTACATTACTGTGCTCCCAAGTTGCAGTTCCAAGTTTAACACATTCATGCACGATACAAAACCAGACACAGCCAAATAAAGCTCCTGAAGCCTCCCACCTCCTCACTGGTAGAACTTAATCTCTGTGTCCACGCAATCGAAAAACAAGTCGCCCAGTTCGTCTCCTGGTATCTCTCCATTCAGCATGGCTGAGATCTCGCTCAGACACTGCGCCTCCAGCTCCCTCAGGATCTCATAGATGGCTAAACCCTCGTCCTGACACGGACAGAAGAAGACAGAGAGATGTCAAAACAGTAACATGTGGGTGAAATAGTGCTGGAATTTTTAAACCTGCTTAAGCAGTGCAGCGATGTGACTAAATACTCAACTATGATCAAGTAATAAATGAATGTACATTTACAAGAATCCAGATCCAACTTGCAGCCTTTTGAAAGTAAATTTAACCAGACGTCTGCTGCGGGAGGTGCAGGTTTAATGACAGTTGCTGTTGTCACACACCTCCATTTCCTCTATGGACTAATCTGGGTTTCTACATATATTTTAGCTGCTCACCAAAACAGCAGCAATAGCTGTGTCCCAATTCCATACTACATACTGATAATATACAATGTGTACGACTATTTTCAGTTAGTTAGTTAGTACAAAACATCTGTTAACTGCTTGTTCAATGCATGAACCAAAATACATAAACCAAAACTATGACTTTGAAATGCCACTGCCGATTAAACTTCAGTAATTGAAAGTAAAATACATGCTATGCCGAAGAAAGCTGCACAAAACATGTATGTACTTATATGTTCTGTGGCCCTTGTGTTGTATATGTATTTATATGTTCTGTGTCTTTTT